GGGATGTGTGGGGATGCTGTATCCCATCTGGGCTCAGAGCTGGTGGGGGCATGCAGGGAGGACTCACTGTAGAGGCTCAGTTTGGCTCAGACCCCCTCGTCAAACCCACGGGCTATGCATGGGAATCCCCAGCCACCAACAGTGCAGAGATGCCCATGGCCAGTTACTGACCAAGAGCATCACGGCAGGCTGGCCAGGCCCCTCTCGGGCCTGACTGGCATTCCATTTTGCAAATGTAGCCAAGGCTGGGGCAGCGCTGGATGAGAGGAGGTGAATGCCAGCTGGGGGGCTGCAGAGGACATGGAGCGAATGCGGAGAGCCACACGTGTGCAGGGTCTGAGGAGAGGGGCCCCAGCCCTGGACACCAGGGTGGGATGGCACCATGCAGGGCATGGAGCTGGGCCTGGGGTGGGGGGGGGGAGAGAGCCACGCAGGCTGCTGCATGAGGAGACCCTCCACCTCCTGCCTCGCCTCTGCACATGGCCTCCCCTGAGAGCGCAGGTGCAAGGGCCTTCCGCGAAGGTGAAGGAGCACAGGTGGCTGAGCACAAAGCAGGGCTCACCCTGCTGGGTGAACAGGGCAGCTGGGGGCCCGAGCTGGGTCACCGGGGACGAGCAGGGGGCTGTGGGGCCTAGGAGCCTGAGCTGGGTCACCAGGGGTCAGCAGGGGGCTGTGGGGCCTGAGCTGGGTCACCCGAGGTGAGCAGGGGGCTTTGGGGCCTGGGGACCTGAGCTGGGTTACCCGGACCAAGTGAGGCCCACCAGCTGATGGGCAGCAACCCCTGGAGTCTCAGGGTGTCCTTGAGGGCTACAGGGCCTGCCTATCCAGGTAAGGGAAGAGTGCAGATCAGGACTCAGCCGTTAAAGGAGGAGGGTCCATGGGGCCGGGAGCAAGCTGGACGAGGGCAGTCTTATCTACCCCCAATCTAGCAGTAAAGCTGAGGTTGCGTAAGAACTGTAAGAAGCAGGTGTTACTCAACCTAATTCAGGCGCCCATTGTGCAACCACCTAGTTCCTAAGGGATGGCCTAGGTGGCAGATTGACCAGCCCCCAGCCCAGGACATGGGTAGCCATCACAGAACTCCCGCTTCCCTCCTGGACAGTCTAGTGCGGATGTGGAGAGAAAGACAGCTGAGCCCGGGATTAACTCGTCCTGCGTGAACTGAGGTCACCGCGCGCACTGGCAGGTGCCCAGATCATTGACGCCTTCTCAATGCTAGAGAAACACAGTGTGTCCATGAGTGGTTCGGTGTCCCACAGCCCAGTTGGAATGGCACTCAGGGCTGGGCCAGGAGGGCCCCTGCTGCCCATGGGTCCCAGGGTGCTCCATAGGGCGGGGTCTCGGGGCCCGCCTCATGGGCTGAGAGCAGACTTCAGGGTGTTCTCCTCGGTATCAGTGCTCCTGGTCCAGCTCAGTCACAGGTAACCGAGTAATAGATTTCGTGATTTTAAGTAAAAAGAATAAACTAATTTAGCCCTCTTTGTAGGTAATATTAAGATTCTTGAAAGAACTTGAGGATCGTCATATTTAAAGGTTTGTTCCATTAATTCCACTGTCTGAAGTGTTAATGACGCAAATCACATACCTCACCCTCATGAACACACTGGAAACGGAAGAGGAGCCACACTGAAAGTCTCTCTCGGAACTTACTGGATTCACAGCAGAACAGTAAGATGGTAAAACAGACGCCAGGGCCAGTGCTGGAAGGGTGGCGTGGAAAGCGTGGCCTTAACAGACTGAGGCTGGAAACCCAGGCCCTGGCTTCTCAGAGTGCCTGGGCGTGGCCGGGCAGAGAGGGCCAGGCAGGGAGGGGGACCAGCAGACCAGGGTGGCCTGTGGGAAGGGGCACTGAGGGGGCTGAGGAGAGCTGGAGTGGGGAAACCTGGGATGGGGGGTGCCGCAGGAAAGGCCAGGACCTGCCGGGCCGTCAGGAGCCCGCTGACAGCCGCGAGCAGCAGATGCAGGAGCGTCCCTTCCCCGTCAGCACTGCCACCGCCTCCCCAGAACCCTCCGAGGCCTGGTGCCTGGCCTTGGCTGCGTCGACAAAACAGTCCAGGGGCCAAGATCACCAGCAATGAAACCGGGTCCTCCACCCCTCGCGGGGGACCTCAGGCAGGTTCCAATGCCTCAGCCCAAATGCCCTGCGGTTGTCCTGCCCAAGCCCCTCTGCTCCTGCTTCCCAGCCGACCCTGCTGAATCACCTGGCAGGGCGGTTAGGAGCAGGTCTACCTTCCTGCAGAAACCGGGCCTTGGAGCTGGGGGACTCCGGCACCTCTCTCTGCTCAATGTCCCCAAGGAGCACACATTCCACCTATGCACCCGAGCCCCACCCCCAATTCCCAGCACAGGGTGCGGGCACAGCAGCTCCCCACTCCTCACTGGCAGAAGCCCTTAGGGCAAAAGATGACAGGGACTGGCCTGGACAGTCATAGCCAAGCAGATCCTCACCCCTTCCCACCAAGCCATCAATGCAGAACCAAGACTCTCAAGGAGCCAACTGAAGCCACCACAGAAAGGGAGGGGCACCCAGGGGTCATGAGAGGTGGGTTGGGGTCAGCAGGCTGCCTCCCTGGCCAGTCACTAACTGCCTTGGACAGAGGGCCCGGAGCTTGGGACACCGCCAGCTCTGCCAGCTCCCTGCTCTCTTTGCACCTCCTCAGCAGGGAGGCCTTGCTGCCTGTCCAGCCTGCAGACCTAGGAGCCATGGGCCTAACGTGGGGAAGCAGCTAGGAGATGGTGGCCCACACCTGGCCCTGCCCAGCCCTGGAGCCCTGTTGGTTGTTTCAGAGGGAGAACCAGAGTCTCCCTGCGGGACACATCCAGATGCACAGGCCCTACCGCTGGACTGCACCCACCCACACGGCCAGCAGCAGTCCAGTGTGCTCCATGGGCAGCAGCAGCCATGGGAAAGGATGAGCTGCACACAGCGCAGCAGGATGGCTCTCGGCCCCGCATGGAGCAGAGGTCAGCCACAGGCACGCTTCCACAGCCAGGAAGGGGCCGGGCGGTGCACAGGGGAGAGGAGAAGTGACCCTGGGGTGCCAACAGTGAGGAAAACACCCGGCAGCGTGCCATGGCTCCATCTGGGGCAGTGCCACGGGTGCACAAGGAGGGAAACCTCCTGTGCTGTGCACCCAGACTCAGTTGCCCATCAATAAACACATGCCCAGCGACTCTCGTCCTCACTGCAGTTGTGGTCCCTAGAGTCCCTGACTTGGCACCGATGGAGCCATTGCTCCCAGGGTAGGCTTCTGGGAGCCTCTGATTATGAGGTTCCTCCTCCAATCAAGCACAGTCCCCTTGTTTTATGTGTCCCAGCTGCAGACGCCTAACGCACATGTGTGTCATCACCATAAAAACCGAGCTCGTGCCCCGACCTAGCCCAGCACACGCGTGTTCTCCATGAGTCACAGCACAGCCTGTCTGTGCTTGGGAACGCCAGGCAGCACCTCCGCACTGTGCCTGGGGCCACTTGAAAAGCAAAGTCACCAAGAAAAAGCACAGATATATACATATATATGTATATATATATATATGTTTGTTTGTTTTTAAAGGCACTAACTAGACCAAGAGAGGGCCCTTCATACAGGGTGAGTGCAGGGCAGAGCAGAGAGTGGCCTGGCTGGGCCCCAGGAGCACCTGCGCAGCGGGGGCTCTAGCCTCCACAGATGATGGCAAAACTCAGGTACTTGATCTTAGGGTTACAGATAAACTAGGTAGGCAAATTCACAAATACAGAACTTGCAGGTATGAGATGCTGCTCTCTGTGTGGGTGACATTCAAACGAGGAGTACAGAGGCTCCTGACTGAGCCGAGCCTTGACTGACAGCTAAGGGACTGACTGTTCCTTCTAAGAGCAGCTGCGTGGTCCAGCTTCTGCCTCCCCTTCCCCAGACCATGGATGACCCTGAGCAAGGTCCACCTGAGATCAGCCTCCTGCAGCCGGACACTCAGCTGCTCTGTGGGTCAATGGAGTACAGGAGAAAGGGGGAGGTACTGAGAAGCTGCCTTGGCTGCTGAGCCCCTGGGCAGGACGCAGAGGGAGGTGGGGTGCAGAGGGAGGTGGGGTGCAGAGGGAGGTGGGGTGCAGAGGGGAAGTATACACATGCCTGTGTATATGTGCAGGGAAGCCCAGGCAGAGCCTGCAGTCACCTCTCTGGTCCTGTCCATGCCAGCAGGCCACCAAGGTGCCGTGGGTGGATGGGGGACAAGTAGATGGGGAGGTGGGCTTGGGTGATGAGGGGTGGGTGGAGGTGTTTTTAGTGACCTCGCTGTGTACCAAACCAGAGGTCATCTCAGGGCACCGGCGCCAGGCAGAATGAGAGATTTGAAAAGGGAGACTGAGGAAAGCATCAGGGAGCCAAGCTGACAAAGGAAGCGAAACCCCCGCCAGGCTGTTGCTGGGGTCCGAGTGGTCCCGGTGGCGCTCTGGCCTGTGGACAGCCACCTGCAGCACTCGGGTCTTCCAGCTTTACACAGGTGGCACTCGGGAGGAAGGTTCCTCTCGGGGAGTGCCCACACCTGCCTGCCTCTTTCTGGTGGCTCAATCTGCAGCCCTCGGGCCTCTCCCCCTCGTCCCTGTCTCAGATTCTGCTTCCCAGTAAGAGGCGGGGGAAGCTGCCTGCAGGCGCAGTGGCAGGACCACCCCATGTCCTCTGCGTGGGCAGGCATGTGGCCTTGCTGGGGTATGGGCAGCTCCTGGGTGTGGGGCTGTGTCTACCTGCACATCTTTGGGATCTGATGTCCAGAGCTGTGGGCAGGCATGTGTATACTTCCAGCTCTGAGGACGGCCCCAGGCCCCAGGTGGGGGAGCTGCTCATAGACATGGCTTTCAGAAGGAACTTCCTGAAGTCAGGTGGAGCCCAATATGCTGGGCAGTGGCTGCAGGAGCAAATGTCTCCCTCCCTCCTCCTCCCCTCTCTCTCTCTCTCTCTCTCCCTCTCTCTCTCTTTCCTGGGGATTGGACCCAGCGTGCTCTGACACCAAGTTATAGCCCCAGCCCTTTTTTGAATTGTTTTTATTTCCATACAGGGTCTTGTTAGGGTACACAGGCCTCAAACTTGGAATCCTCCTGCCTCAGCCTCCCAAGTAGCTGGGATTATAGGCGTGCACTACCTCACCCGGGTAAAACTTCTGAGTCCATACTGGTCCTCGTGTCAACCTCAGGGATAGGGAGCAGCTCAGGATGGGGCTGGGAGGTACCCAAGGTGCAGAGGTTACAGTTGAGCCCCTGGAAGAAATGGGAAGGCCCTTGAATGTCTCAGAAAATCAGTGATCAAGGTAGGTAGAGCCCCAGAAGCTGACTCCACAGCCCTGGACATGTCAGTCCAGGCCCAAAGTCCAAGAAAAAGGATCTTCTGGTTCCACAGTCCTTACCCACACTCTGCCAAGGTCTCTGACCCCTGACCCCAGCTGCCCACTACTCACAATATACAGATACCACTCAGGGACTTCCTGCTCAGCCAACCCTAGGAACTTCCTCAGTCTCCCCTGTTGACCCCAACTCACCCTGCCTTCTTCACCCTGCTCTGGCCTAGGGGGGCCTGGCCCAACCCTGGGTCCCTGGGCCTAGCCACCCGCAGGCAGGATCAGGGAAGCAAGCCCTTGGCAGAGCTGCCCTGGGGAAGTGGGCCCAATCCTTCCCCACCAGGGTAGGGTCCTCACATTGAGCGCGCTACAGAAGATCCTGGAAAGGTGGCCAGTTTCTCTCCTGCGCCTGGACTGTGGCTAAAGGCCACATTCCTCCTCCGGGTCAACAAACACACCCACTGACAGAGCACTGCAGCCTGGCGCCAGCACTGGACATGAGTCAACTAGCCTGCCCCTCCCCCCGCTGGTCCAAGGCCAGGCCACCGCCCAGGTCCTAGCCTCCCTGCCCCCAGGTGGGACCACACCGGGACACTGCTGGGGCCCAGGAGACATGGAGGCCAGAACCCTAGCTGGGGGTTGGTGGGCAGAAGCTAAGGCCTCCGCAAGGACTCATGCATTCCAAGAATGGCTGAGTCCCTGCACAGAGATGAGCCAGTCAGTGCTGGCCCTGGTGGCTCCCCTGGGCTCACGGGGCACTCAGGGCTCTCCTTGGGCAGTGGCCGGCAGACAGGCTGCTTCTGTACTGGGGCTGAGCCAGGGAGATTTTCAGGGCTGAGGCTGCTGGGACAGGGAGTGAATCTGCTCCAGGAGTAGACATTCAGAGACCAGGAAGGATGGGGGAGTATGGGGAGCACCCAGAGGGCATGCCATTGGCTGCAAGGTTGGGAAGCCAGCTGGACCCAAGTCTGAAGAGCCTTCTCTGCCCCTGGGCTTCGCAGTCGGTTCACAGTGGAGAGTCAAGGCCAGGTGAGGGGTAACCCTCAACCACGGTCCCCATCCACCCTCATGCTACTGTGGAGGTACCACTTTACAGCTGGGAAAACTGAGGCTCAGCAGAGTCACAGCCCAGTCTGAGGTCACCTGGAGTACCCGAGGAGGTTCTCACAGAACTGGGGGGGGGGGGGGTATGCTGTCCATTCCCAGAGGGGAGCTACCTCTGGACGCAGGTTTGACAAGGCTCTCCTTTACCCAGAGGGAGAGCGCCAAGGAATCCCGTCCCTCTGCCTCCGTGGGGTGGGCTCGCCAGAGTTAGGGCTATCCGTGGGAGTGGACCTTGAGGATCCTAGGAGGGCGGGGGGGTCGCGGGGGAAGGGGCAGGCAGCTGACAGTGAGCTCCGACAGGAGGGACGAATTCCCGCGGTCTCCTACCCCGGTCTGCGCCCACCCAGGCTAGGCTGCCAGGGTGGAAAAGGGGCCCCACTAGGGCGTTCTCTTGGGCGCGCGGGGAGACCCCTGCAAGCTCCCTCCTCGGTCGCAGCGGGCGGGGCCTCCCCGGCGACCCCACCCCAGCCCGCCCCCCACGTGGCCGCTGGCGGGCGGGGCGGCGCCTCCCTTTCCTCCGTCGGGCCCCGCCCGAGCCCTCGCTAGCCGGGTCTGACTGTGCGGAGCTCCGCAGTGGGGCCGACTGCCCGCCCCCGACCCGCCGGCGCCCCCCCACCCGGTAAGTCCGCAGCCCCCGGGCCGGCCAGGACCCCAGGGTAAACTGAGTCCGGGAGGAGGCGGGGGCGCTGCACGCTTGGAAGGGGACTCCGAGCCCCCGCGGGTGCCCCCCGAGTGATGGCGCGGGCCCGCGGGGCGGCGGGGGACCAGTTCCCGGGGTGGGGACTTGGCGCCCCTGGCCTCGCTCTTCCGCGCGCCCCGCCCTGGTCTGCGGCCGGCGCAGAAGTGCGGCCAGAGCGCAAACCACCGGCGGGTGGCGGGCCACGATCCGCTGGGCCTCCCTGGGGCAAGCAGTTCCCGCCTCGCGGCTGCCACATCCTGACCGTGAATCAGCCGCAGTTGAGAGAATAAACTTTAACTCCGGTCCCCTGCCCCGGTGGCACCCCAGGCGTGGGCGGGTCTGCGGCCGCGCCCTGACTGCTAGGTTTCTAGCTGCCGGTGCTTGCGCTGGTGGGTGCTGCCCGGCCCTAGCACACCAGGGCCTGGCCTTGGGGAGTGTGCCCCCTCACAGTTGAGATTGTTGGGGGTGGGAGTGTTTTTATGCTCCTCTTCCTAGGCAGGGACCCCAGGAGTGAATGACTTTGGGAGTGAGGCCTGTGCACTGCCCCAACCCAGCCCACAGCTGACCCTGGGGAGCACAGTCCCACAGCCAGGTCTTTCTGATCCTCCAGTCACCCAGGACTCCAGGCTGCACAGTGGCAGCACCACACCCCAGCTGGTCAAACCCAGAGTCGGAGTGGCACGGGTGCCTGCACCCAGGCTGGAGTGGGGAAGTTCCCTTCTGCCATCCTTGTCCCTGGCTCTGGCAATGCCATGGGTGGGACCCTGCCTCTCCGGGTCTCAGTTCCCATCTACACTGAAGAGTGGGATCGGTAGCTGAGGCACAGATGTCCTCCCTGCTGCCCTGCAAACCTCGCTCAGGGAGCTGCCCAGGGCAGGGCCTTCAGGAAGTGAACACTGTGGCCTTTGGTGGCAGGGATGGAGTCTGAGGCTTCACCCTGCCCTTGTCCCCTCAGGTCATCAGCAACTTTCTGTTAAAAAGTCAGTTTGGCCCCCAGAGCTGCAGACACCATTGCCTGGTCTGCCATCAGAGGCCCCCTGGCAAGCAAAGGGCGAGTCTCCAGGAGGACTGGGGGCAGGAGGGGATGCCCTCCCTCCGTGAACCGGCCCAGCAGGCTGCTGTGGAGGGCTCTGCTCTCCAGGACCTGGTAACTGGTAGGGCAAAGAGTTAACCCTCGTCACCCCCCCACTTTGTGGGGGTGCTGACGCCTGTCAGCTAATTGCACAGGCTGTGTGCTCTGGGACTGAGCCTCCTACCTGAAGTAGACTCCGCCTGCCATCAAAGTGCAGTTGTTTCCAGGCTGGGAAAGTTTCAGGGTCGTGAAGGCCACAGGAGGACATGGGATCCTCCGCAGCTTGGGCAAGGTGGAGCTCACCAGCCCTGGGTGGGCAGTGGGTGCTGTCTGAAGCAGGCTCAAGCCCCAGCTTTTTGAAGTGCCTTGTCAAGGACCCCATGGTGGGAGGGATAGGGCCTGACTCTGCTGCCTGACCCCTCCCCTGCTTTGGTCTTGCATACAGCAGGAGTCGAATAGGTGGACCCAGTGGACACAGTGGACATGGCCCAGTGGACACAGTGCATTGAGGAGGGCATGCCCACTTCTGTGGACAAGGCCAGGAGAGCTGGGTGGCAGAGGCCAGCACAGCTAGTCTCTGAGGGGCTGTCCCTCAGGAATACCCAGTGTCAAGGACAAGGAGGTATCCGGGGTGAGTGCCAGTCACTGTTGGTGTGAAAGCAGGCCCAAAACATGTGGCCTCCTGCTAGAGGCCTCTACCCTGCCGGCTCACTTTAGTGAGGAGACTCCTTCCCCCAGGGACTCAGACAGCCTGAGTCCCAACCCGCTCACAGCTTCGTCTGCCCAGCACCTGCGACCTCCAGCTGACCACCAGCTGTGCATGAGCCAGGCAAGGAAAGCAGGGGCAACTTGGCCTGTCCCCCACGGGGGCTGTTGCAAGAACTTTCTTACAGCCCCTTTCTCAAGTGATTAAGTAAAGAACAGGGCTGGGTGCTGCCCAGGTCTCCCCTCTGCCTCAGCCCTGAAGAGCTGGCCCAAGCCTGGCCTGTCTTCTGACCACTCATGGTTCCTGAGCGGTGTCTGTGAGCTGAGAGAGTGGAGGGAAGTGGACCGGCCTGCCATATTCCCACTGCTCCATCTGGCCCTCGTGCCTATCCCATGAGGTGCAAGTACTTCAAATGCTGCCCATTTCACGGGTGAGAACACTGAGGCGGAACCATTGGGTTACAGACTCGGGGTCATCCTTTCTGGCAGGAGACACTTACAAAGCCCTGTGGGCATCTGCCCTTGTGCCGGCTGCCCCAGGCCCTGGAGCTGCTGCTTTATCAGGCATTGGGGTCGTGGTCTGGTGGGAAGACTGAAGCCAAGGCCCCTCTCCAGCACTATCTGAGGACAGAATGGCCATGGCCTCTTTCCTGTTCTATCTTCCCAACCCCTGTGGCTTCTCCCAGCTGCACCCTGCTACAGGAAGCAGGGGTGGGCAGGATAGCAGAGCGGGTAGAATGGGACTCGGAGAGTCTGGAGTGGACAGCCAGGCAGGGCTCTGCCAGCCTCTATGCCCTTCTTCTTGCTCCCCTGGTGTGCTGGCACCCAGGAGGCCAGGCTGGGCCCTGGCCAGTAATAGAGGCCTCTGCAGAGTCCTGGGGCAGGTATCCTGAGCAGCAGGCCTCCTGCCAGCACGTGACCACAGCTCTCTCCACTGCCCCTTCCCTGAGCCGGAGCTGCTCTGAGTACTCCAGGTCCAGCACGAGAAGGGAGGGGACGGTGGCCTGGAGAGCTGCCCCCCTCCCCTGGGGATGTGCCCTGGCCAGCCTCACAGTGGAGGCAGACATCTCCCCAGGCAGGGTGTGTGGCCTGGGCTGCCAGGAGGCCAATCTGACCAGGGCCCAACAGGGAGCCCTTGATGGACGGAAGGCAGCCAGAAGACACTTGGGGAGCCGGAGGCAGGGTCTGCTTTCCATTTTGCAGTTGGTGCCACTGAGCCCCAACATCAGAGCTAGTGTGGAGACCGGTCCCAAGCACAGTGGGTCAGAGAGCTGGCAGGTGTCCTAGCTGGACATGCCTGGTGACAGCTTCCCCCAGACAGTCTGGCATGTGCAGCAGGGGCTTCTCCATGTTGAGCTTGATCTTGGTCCTTGTCCAGTGCTGGACATGGCCTGGAAGTCAGCCTCCGGCTGCATGAGAACATCTTCATGGCCTCAGTCTCCCCATCTGTGCCTGGCCCTGGGCTGTGGCCTCCGCGTGCAGCCTGCCTCCCCCACCTTCCACGTGCCTGTTGTCCCCGTTCTGCTCCAAGTACAGCTTGGCACTGCCGCCTGCGCCCAGCAGCAGGGGGCAGGCTGCTCTTCACTGGCCCAGGCGCTGCCTGTCCCCGCCTATCTGCCTCCTGTGTGCACAGATGTGAGTGGCTTGAGAGCAAGATTCCTGGGGGACCCCAAGCTCAAAGGGCCCAGGCAGGAGAGCAGGGGCTGCTGGGGCCCAGGAGGTTGCCTCTGAGGGGTGAGGGGTGGGCACTGCGGGCAGTGCTGGCCGAGCCAGCTGAGGACAGGAGCCACAGGCCCCTGGAGAACACCCTGCCCATTTTACAGACGAGAAAACTGAGTACAGAATCGGCTGGCTTTCCTGAAGGCCCTGGCACTGATACTTCCCCAGGATGCCAACAGGCATGCCACACCCATGCCAAGGATCTCACTCACCCAGTCAGTTCCCACAGGTCCCCTGGTGCTGGCTGTGGAGGGGCAGGAGCCTGGGGGACTAAAGCACTGTCCCAGCTGACTCCTGGTTGTCGAGCTGGCCAGGTCTTTGGGTGTGGGCAGTCGGAGCACAGCCCTTTGCTGCAGCTCCAGTCCAGAAGTGGCTTTGACATGCTCCTATGTGGAAGACGGGAACGGGAGTCCAGTGGGCCGTCCAAGGCACCTGTGCCCAGCTGTAGGCCCCTTTGCGCCTGGAATCGGAGCTGAGTGCCTTCCCTGGCAGCTGCCCTCATGCTGGGGGCTGTAGGCCGGGCCCCTCCCACTCCCAGGCTGCCTTTGTTCCCCCTGCTCCTGGGGGGTGGCCTGGTTCTGGGACATCTGTGGGGGCTTGTGGAGCACAGGCTCAGGACCGGACATTGCGAGGCGCAGAGGAGCACTCAGCAGTCAGAACCCGAGTCCTGAAGCCGGCCATCCCTCCCTGGGGAGCATCAGGGAGACCGGGAGGGACAAGTGACCAGTCTTGGGAGAGGACCCGGCAGGCATCCTGGGATGAGGCGGGGGCCTTCAGGCTGCCTGACCCATCACCCATTCAGCTCCTATAGGTGGACAGGCCTGCGGCACATCAGCCCAAGGTCATCCCAGCACTGCCGCCTGCAGGGCCTGGCAAGTCCCTTGGCTTCCTCATCTGAGCCCAAGAACCACACCCCTGCACTCCACATTGCTGATGGGGCCCAGCACAGAAGGCGCTGCTGAGGGTGAGGACCTTGGACTCCAAGAGTCCCTGACTGGTGGCCACAGTCTTTGTCATTACCCCACGCCTCTCTCTGGCCCCAGACTCTATACCAAAAGCCCCAGAATGTTGGAGGGGGCCAGGCCCTAAGCAAACACCCAGTGGCCCTACTCTGTGCAGCTGGGGAGACTGAGGCCCAGAGGGACCCCTCTGGTGTCAGTGCAGGTCTAGGGCACCCTAGCCCTGCTTTATGTCAGAGCAGGTGGAAATGGAAGCCCAGCTTCCTGGCGTGGAGGCCTCCGCCCTTCCTGTCCTCCTAGGGCGAG